AACTCCCAGAATTCCCCAGCCAGCGAATGCTGGCTGGGGAATTCTGGGAGTTGAAGTCCGGACATCTTCAAGTTGCCAAGGTTGAGAAACACTGGCTTAATCAGTCATCTGGTGAGGGCTACTTGCGTGGCTTTGCGTGTCTCCCTGGGGAGGGTGAGTAAGGGTGAACTACGAAGAGGGTGAAGCTGTTTGGGTAGAAACAGTGGGGTCTGTTTTTTCGACAGTCTGGTGCTTCTTTTAGACTTTAAACTCCCCTTGTTCTACTTCTCGCTTTAGACTAGCTGCCCGTTTTAGCAATGTTGGCCAGTGTGGCCTGAGAGGGGACCCTGGTCAATGCAGGTGGCCCTGGGGCCACAGACAGACCCTCCCCCCTTTTTTTCTGCAAGATCTCAGGCCCCCTTCAGAGCAGCTGCTTTCTTTGGTGTTGCCTGCCCCGACGGAGCCCCCCCTCTATGATTTCTGCCCTGTGCTCTGCCTTTCAGAAGAAGCCGTGAACGAGGTGAAGCGCCAGGCCATGTCGGAGCTGCAGAAGGCCGTCTCGGACGCGGAGAGGAAGGCGCACGAGCTGATCACGACGGAGCGGGCCAAGATGGAGAGGGCCCTGGCCGAAGCCAAGCGCCAAGCCTCCGAGGATGCTTTGACTGTCATTAACCAACAAGAGGACTCCAGTGAGGTAGTGACTCTCTCTAGTCCTGACCTGGAGCCGGGGGCCAGAGTAGTAGCCGGCTGCAAGCAGCCATGACTCGGAGCCAGGCGTGTGTTGGCCTCGTGGCTCCCCCACCCCCCCTGTAGTTTGGCCTTGTCCTAAACTGTAGGAGTTGAGCACAGTCTGGAGCGCAGCCCTTTGTGAATCCGCCACGGGAGAGACGGACCGTGTGCCTGGTGCCTGGTGAAGAGTAGCGCGCCTCTTGCCCCCCCGCGCTTGTCTTTCGCTCCGCGCTGATCTCTGTGCTTTCGCCTTCTCCTGCAGAGCTGCTGGAACTGCGGGCGGAAGGCCAGTGAGACCTGCAGCGGATGCAACACTGCGCGTTACTGCGGCTCCTTCTGCCAGCACAAAGATTGGGAGAAGCACCACCACGTCTGTGGACAGACCCTCCAGGGCCTCCAGTCTTCCGTAGGGGCGGGCTCTTCCGGCCCGGTTGGGCTGCCCGGACCTCCCGCCCAGCCAGACGGGGTGGCTGTGACCAGCTCCATCCCCAGCGTGGCCCTGGGAAGCAGCTCGAGCGACCCGGGCTCTGCCACCGTCTCGCGTTCTGGCACACCGGCGACCCCGGCCCCATTGGACACCACGTCCCGCTAGGCGAGAGACCAAAAGGGAAGGGAAGCATCACTGCTGCTGCTGCTGCTACCACTGCTCCCCAAACGGGGAAGGCAAAGACAGAAAGAGAAAACTGCATCCAATGCAAATCCTCAGCTACCTGACACGTGTTTGACCTCCAGAGCAACCTCTCACCCTACGACAGAATCCTCACGAATCCTCAGACCTGGCTTGAAATGGAGTTAACGGCAAGCGCCGAGCCTCCTCCGTTCTTCGAAGACGGTGATGACGATGGGAGACTCCATGTCCGACCCACAGGAGGTGGGGGAATTGAAGGTGGTGGTGGTTGTTTTTCTTTCCTTTTTCTTCTTCTCCTCCTCCTCCTCCTCCTCCTCCTCCTCAGATGAGGCATCGGCAGGTCTCCCCCACCTCTTGAGTTGCGGGCAGGGAAGTGAAGGCTCCCGCTGCCTCCTGCGAGAGACGCGTTCATGGAAATGAAAAGAACGGAAGCCCCTTCTTTCTGAAAGAGGAAAGGGGGCAGAAGAAGGCAGGGAAAATGGATTTCAGTTACAAAAAGCAAGCCTTTTTTTCCCCTCCTTTTTGTAAAAAAATAAAAATAGACAATAAAAACATCAAACTCTTTTGGCTTTAAGTAAAACAGAAAGAAAGAAAAAAAAATTCCAAAAATTACCCGCAGAACCAAGTAAAGGAAGCTTACCTGTAAACTACCTTGCTAGTTAGCCAAGAAATGCCATTTTCACCTCTGCTCCAAAGGAAATCCAAAAGAAAGAAAGAATCCAAACTTTTTTCCACTGCCAAAGTTTCTCTCCCTTCCTCCCCCCCCCNGACTTCAACTCCCAGAATTCCCCAGCTGGCTGGGGAATTCTGGGAGTTGAAGTCCGGACATCTTCAAGTTGCCAAGGTTGAGAAACACTGGTCTAGAATGAACTCTTAGAAGTCCTGGCCGCAACTCCTGGATGCCTTCCACCAACTGAGATGGCTTCAAGGGGGTCACAACCTGGGCAAGGGTCTTTGTGTGGCCGTTAGGAAGGATCCGCCTCCTGGCGCCACTCTGCTGCCCACAGGGGTGCCCTGATCTTCCTCCCTGGCAGCCACTTGGCTTCTGGGCACTGCAGCCTCTGAGCTCAACAGAGCTGGACCCTGATGCTTGCTGCCCAGTTCCTCACGTGGTCTCCCTCCCCTCCCCTCACTCTTTGCAGGTGCCTTTGTGTGCCCATCCCCCTCTTGGCTGTTAGTCAGAAAGCAGATGCCTCCCCAGAGGTAGCCACAATCTGCCCCCCACCCCCACCCCGAAACTCTCCATGGTTCAGTCAAGGGTGCTGATGACGCGAGTTTGGCCACACCCAAGTTTTTCGAAGCAATAAATAACAAATCGGTTCGTTCAACGCTTCTTAACAGATTTTTCTCATTCTGCCATTTCCCCAGATGCTCATCGTGAATTTGTATCCAGGCCCCTGTCTGGCTACATGCCGGAAGAAATCTGGAGAAAAGCTGGTGAGTTTTGGGGGAAGTGAGGAAACACTTCTCGTAGAAAATTGGCTCTTGTATCACACACAAACACACACCCCAAAAAATCCATGGACCGGCCAATCGGTGGAACTGCCCTGGCTCTTTAGCCCAGTCAAGGGTTGGGCCGGCTACAGTCGCTCTCATTCTGGTGGGTGATCCAGCTGCAGACCCCCCCCTTGCTGACCAAGCCCAGGACAGCAACATCCCTTGTGTTGGTCACTTCAGTCCTGCTTCCCCAGATGAAACCGCCCTTGCGCTGAGTTTGAAGCACTTTCCTGAGCTTTAGCAACTTAAGGATGGGGGGCCGTCCAGAATTCCCCAGCCAGCTTGCTCCCTATACATACCCCCAGTTGTGAGGGTTGAGAAAGACCGCTCTGAAGCATTGATGCGGTTGCTATTGTACGTTAGGACCCATAATGCTCTGCAGAACATCAGTGTTATGGGGTGATGCTCTCTTGGCCAAAGCAAACAGCCCTTAGGAGAGAGGGAGCATATGCAAAGGTCCATCAGATGCTGCTTTGATGGGGTTCAGCCCCCACCCACCCACCCCTCGCGGTGCAGCCACCCGAAATATCTGATTGTGTTCTGGTGGGTTTTGCCCCCCCACCCTCTCCCCACAACGAGCAAGAAAATGGGGCAGAGGAATCAGTGGGCAGCCTTGCTTTCCCACCACTAAAAGTGGGGTGAAGGGGTGTTTGGTCCCTTCGGGGTGTGTGTGCAGTGCAATCTCTGCTTAAGCCTGGTAGGGAATTGCTGCCCCCCTCAGGACGGGAGAAAGGAGTAAAGTTGCCTCTTTCCTCTGACTGATTCTGCCACTTCGCCATGCCAGTTAAGAAGCTGGCTGGTGGCTTCTTTCCTACAACAAATGCACCAGTTGAGCACTGGCCTCAGCTAGCTTTTTCTCGTAGGCCAGCATATCCTGGGCAAATCCAAGCTACGATCCAGTGGGGGTTGGGTGAAGCCTGGAAATGGCTTAGTGCAGGTGTTTCTCAACCTTGGCAACTTGAAGATGTCCGGACTTCAACTCCCAGAATTCCCCAGCCAGCGAATGCTGGCTGGGGAATTCTGGGAGTTGAAGTCCAGACATCTTCAAGTTGCCAAGGTTGAGAACCACCTGCACTAAGCCATTTCCAGGCTTCACCCAACCCCCACTGGATCGTAGCTTGGATTTGCCCAGGATATGCTGGCCTACGAGAAAAAGCTAGCTGAGGCCAGTGCTCAACTGGTGCATTTGTTGTAGGA